CGTACTCCATTGTGCTAACATGTCCATTACAACCTGAGGCTTGAAAAAGCCATTACTTTGGTTGTTTCCGTACTTTCTAGATCTATAATTTGTCCAGGAAATAGTCTTCATGCTGGAATGCATTAACATACAAACAGCAGTCTTAGAATTTTCTGTGTCTTCATGCAGGAAGAAATTATTAGAATGTGCAGGAGCATGGGAAAAGCTGTTATTGTTGCCACTAATATGCTAGAAAGTATGATTGTTCATCCAACTCCAACCCGAGCAGAAGTTTCAGACATTGCTATAGCTGTTCGAGAAGGTTCTGATGGCATTATGCTTTCTGGGGAAACTGCACACGGAAAGTATGTGATATCCTTTTCTTATGCATAGATGATCACTCACATGATCAAAATTTAATAACTAAAGTAGGCTGATTTTTTTTATTTTTTATTCAGTCATACTTTGCCATACAATATCATGTTTTTGCAATTGCGTTCTCTTGGAAGTTATTGGAATTGCTAGAACATATGGTATGTCCAGTAGAAGACCTGTACGTCATGAAATTCTGGTGCCTTTTGATTTACTTATATTTGTCATGAAAGTAAATATTTATAATTTTTCAGCATTGAGTTCTTAGTTTCCTGTTGATTTGGCTTCCATAGTTCCATCTAAGTTTGCTCTTTGGAAATGTGTCATGGACTCATGGTATTGAAGTTACTAGTAACGCCTGGTTTGATGCCATATAAATTATTTATATAAATAAATTATTATGGGACTTTATATCATTGTTTGCCAACTCTGTGAAATTCATTACATGAATTGATAAAATTTTTCATTGGTATTATTACTTGCAAAGTATGGTGCACTTGTTTCTGTAGCATATGCTTGCAAATATTCTGTTATGTATTCAACTTAGAGATACATTGCCAAGCTTATGGCTTGATTCCTGGCAGGTTTCCTTTGAAAGCTGTTAAGGTCATGCATACTGTTGCCCTGAGAACTGAAGCCACTATGTCTGGTGGGGAAACACCGGCTAACCTTGGTCAGGTGTTCAAGGTCTGAACTCTGAACTGCCATGATACCCCTGTGCCTTTTCCTCATTCAATTCCCTTTTCTAATTACATTTCTTTCTGTAGAATCACATGAGTGAAATGTTTGCATACCATTCAACAATGATGTCCAACACTCTTGGAACATCAATTGTGGTTTTCACCAGGACAGGATTTATGGCTATCCTACTTAGTCATTACCGCCCTTCTGGCACCATTTTTGCCTTTACGGACCAGTAAGATTCTATTTTTTTCGTTCTGATGCTTGATAAACCCCAATTTCTTTCTAGTTGTATAATCTTGAATTAACAGTAAAATACACATTATGTTAACTTTTTTTGTCTGATTATGTTATGGTTTTCCATTTAGCACATCCAAATTTCCAATCCATCTGTACTACTTCCTCTGGTCTATAATATTTGTCGTTACAACAAACAACTTTAGGCAAATGATAGTTCATTTACTTGTCCAAAACATCATATACTAATGACTAGCGGTACTACTTTGGCAGGAGCTGCCTTGGCCAACCAAGCCTCTTAGTTGATAACCTCTGTGAACCAAGAAAGAAATTATGCTCAATTGTGTTCATTACATGAGCTATCCATTTGTATCAAATGATATATGTATTTTGTGGCCTGCATCCTAGTAAAGAAAAAAACTGTTATGCTACATGGTTACATGGATATCTCATGGTTTTAGTTAGCATTGGTTTGCTTTAGTCTAGGAGCAAAATGAACTCAAGATGGAAGGCCCTTTTAATTTACCAGCCATTGGCTCTATTTGGAAATGTCCTGATACATTATTAGTAATTGGTTAAATATCAGCTGATAGTATTTCCTATGAGATTGTGATCAATGACAACTGAGTTTAGATAATATAATTACAGTATGTACTTCTGACGTTATAACAGACAATTGATCTGAAATGTTTGGCTCTCTAAAAGTATGATGTTTCTCTTGTTCATTTTTCCTTTATAATATGGTATCTTCAAGCACCTAATTAGTGTTGATGGTATGTTTGTAGGGAGAGAGTTAGACAACGATTGGCTTTGTACCAAGGTGTATGTCCAGTCCAGATGGAATTTTCTGATGATGCTGAGAAGACATTTGGTGACGCTTTGTCATACTTGCTGGTAATTTCTAATATATTCTACCCCTTCTGATTTTCTCTGCGTCACTTTAATAGGCATTAGTTAAACTCATTTATCAGGAGAATGTCCTGACACCTGACCTCAGAATTGAAATTTATTACAGCTTGCCTGTAAACTGGGAAATAAAATCGATGTTGAAAAGCATCTTGATATTTTAAGGCATGATCAATTATCATTAAAGGCCAAATAATATTGTAGTATTATGCCTTCTCTCTAGTGAGATAATTTTGCACCATTAGGGGCTTTGCTGTTCAAGTGTGAAAAAGATGTAAAAAAAATTTACGCCGTAATTGAGGCAAGTCTTAATGTTTGAGCCAACGAACCAACAGGCACAGTTATTTTCCAGTACAAATAAGTATAGAACTAGAAAAGGCATTGAAATGACCAAAATAATGGTCTTGCTGTGAATGGCATATTCATACCATTTATTTTGTTGTAAAACATAAATTGGATTAAAAACAAGCAGCTGACTTATTCGCCTTTAGAATAATAGAATGTTTTATTTTCAGAACTTTTGGGGTTAGCAGAATGCAGAAAATTGTTATTTGCGCTGTAGCCACTGAAAGCAATTGTTGCTGAAAATAGACTGATAAAATAGCCATGCCCCAAATATCCACTATTCCACATACGATACTCACCATTTGATATGATGCTATATATATTCCACAGAAACATGGTATGGTGAAGGAAGGCGAGGAGGTTGCACTTGTTCAAAGTGGCAGGCAACCTATCTGGCGGTCGCAGTCCACCCATAATATTCAGGTCAGGAAGGTTTGATGTGAAGACTGCGGGCACAGATATTAACCCATGAATGAATTGACGGTCTTCCAGCAAAACCTTAGGCCTGATGATAATACCACGCTGGCATTACTGGCATCATTTAACTGTGAGCTTAGTGAGTTGTGTGCAAGACATGAGAGAGCCATTGTTGTGATTCTATATTCGTTGCTAAATATGTTACCTTGCATGTAAAATGGTGTGAGCGATCGTTCCCAATCCGTAGCATGAGTATCGCAGGGTTCTTTGATTTGTATTACTGCCTATATGTTTCCTTGTCAGAGATTGTATGAACAGAAACAATTTTATTATATGAATTACTGTAAGGCTTGATAGATATCTGCATGAGGCAAATAATTGTGTTTGAAGTTGTGGAACTTGCAACACAACCTTTTCTTTTTACTACTTATTAATCTTTCAATAGATTTTAGTTTTGAATCTTGCAGAATTTTCAATCAATGGATGTAGTCTGTTTTCAATGAAATAAAAAAAGGTCAAAAATCATAAATCTAGAAGAAAAAACTATAGTAAAATCTAATTTTGGTGCGCTATAACCAAGTGTAAGTGCATTGTAGCTGAATACAAGTGCTATATAACTGAGTGTAACTGCTAACTGCCAGCTGAATATAAAAATAAAAGAACATGAATCTTGATGTAACTTCCTACTGATGAAAAAGTAAAATAGTGCTTAAAAAGTACAACTGCAAGTTGAATAAAAATTTTGTTGTAGGTGAAATAGGGGGGAGCTCTAGATCGAACGTCGGATGTCATGTAAAAAAAGGACAACGTCCAATGTCATGTAAAAAAACGGACAGTCAAATGTTTCAATTGACCGCAGATGAAACTTTAATTTATATATGGTGAAAAAAATCAGCCATTAAACATTTAAAAGTTTTGTGAAACACAATAAAGACAGGTTGAAACTCGCTATCATGTATGAAACATCGAGTGTTAATGGATTTAAACATATGTTTTTCTTTTATCATAATATAATCATGTGATATTTTATTGTAAAGATTTAATTACAATGAATAGAATGGTAGTGATTGGATCATAGATCGGATATGTAGTTAGGAGAAAAATCATTCCGAATATCACTAAATGCATGCATGAAGTGGAGAAAAAAGAGGGACAGGTAGCTTATGAAACACAAAGAAGACACGTGTTAAAACATGTTGCTATCACGTATGGAACATTGAGTTTTAATGATTTGAAATATATGTTTTTCTTTTATCAGAATATAATCATATGATATCTTGCTGTAAAGATTTAATTACAACGAATAACGAATATAACAATATAATCAAATTATACTTAGATTAGATAAGTAATTCAGTAGGAAAAATATTTAAAGAGGAGAGAGGGAGAAGAAACTAGGGTGGAGTCTCCTTCATGCGCGTGTACGTCCGATTTTCATTTCCTGAATCGGTCAACTGATCCCTAGTATTCCCCAGTGAAGTAACAAATCTTTTAAACAGGTCCAATCTGCTCAGGCAACGGGCGGAAGCTTCGCCATGACCATGAGAGTAGCTTTTGCCTTTCAATTCTTAGCCATAGGAGCGCCGGAGACCGGAGTCGCGGAGCTCGCGTGCCCTCGTTTCTCCTTCCCCAGCGGAACCACACGTCACATGCGTGCGCGGTGCGCCGGTGGGCGTGCTCTGCGGGCTGACGGGGAGAAAGACAGCTGCCGCTTCGCGAATTGACCGATTGAGTTTTGTTGGATTAGTCAACTTTTACGCTTATTCCACCATGCATGCACGTAGTACACGATCATCAGTTAACGCTAGGCACCGGCGTATAGTACAACTGGATACGCCCTGCGCGTATACGTTTATGGCTCCGTTGGTGACTTTCTGATCACGAGTTTCATTTGAAAAAAAAAAAACACCTAACGACATCTATCTTGCGTCCGGTCCTTCGTACAAGAATTCTTTTATTTTTGGTCGCGATAGGTCACGCGACCTAACACCGAAGACGAAGAGGTGGTTCACTGGGGCTATCCCGTGGATCAGAGCCGATCAGCTCTCCAAACTCGAACATACTGGCTTAATGCAAATCATTCTCCTTATTTAATTTATATCGGCAAATACACTCCCATGATCAAACACAGAGTTACACAAAGTACACCATGTGGGTTGTGCATACATAACTGCTTATTACTACTACTATATTACAGATGCGTATGAACGGATCTCCTCTTATTTATAGTCCAACTCAACCACTGTGCAAGTAATAAGTATACGTGTCACGTAAGTTAATTACTCAGGCTTGGGGGCTTGAGGTTGAGGCTATAGCTCAGACGCTGCTCTTCACCTGGTTGCTGAAGTTGTTCTGCACGTCGTAGAACCGGTTCCACACCATGATGCCGCCGTACTTGGCGTTGCCCTGCACGGCGGGGAGCACCGCCGACGTCAGGTCGCCGGGTGCCACGTACCCGCTCCCCGCCGCGGCCTCCGCCGCCGGCACGCCGACGTAGAAGCTCCCGGCGCTGACGCCGCCGGTCCACGTGTTCCACGCGCTCACCAGGTTGCTGGCGTCGCCGTTGGCGTACTGGCACGGCGGGTTGTTGTAGAATTGCACCCACACGCTGTCGAACAGCCCCGTCTGCAGCGCCGGCCCCAGCGACGCGTCCGGGTAGGGGCACTGCGGCGCCGCCGTCAGGATCACCTTCTTGCCGCCCCCCTGCGCGCTGTACCGCGACAGGAACGTGGCGAGCTCGTCGTAGTGCGCCGGGTTGCCGGTCTCGATGTCGAAGTCGACGCCGTCCAGCACGGCGTCGCCGAGCGGCCGGGAGCCCGAGCTGCCGCCGAGGAAGTTGTTCCACAGGTAGTCGGCCACGTCCTGGGCGTCCTGGGTGGACGACAGCCCGTAGCTGCCGGCGCCGCCGCCGATGGACAGGATGACCTTGACGCCCAGCGACTGGCACGTCTGGATGTCCGAGCTCTGGCCGGTGCAGCCGCCGGAGCTTGGTTCGCAGTGCCCGGCGAGGTTGAGGACAGGGGTCTGGCCGTTGCCGAAGGTGCTGAGGAAGGCGACCATGACGTACGCGTATAGGCCGGAGTTGCAGGCGTCGGCCAGGCTGCCCTCGTCGCCGTTCTGGCCCCAGTACACGGCGATGTCGCCGGCACGGGAGGTGACGGCTATGCCGGCGAGGAGGAAGAGGGCAAGGAGAGGGGAGAACTTGAGCTTATTAGCAGCCATTGTTAATGTTAACTAGTAATTAAGCTTCGAGATCGAGGTACGAGGTGTGTGGAGGGACTACGTGATTTGCTTGGTGGTGGAGTTTGTGGCTTGCGGGGTGGCCATTTTATAGGGGGTGGATGCATATATGCATGGTTGAATTGAACCGTTCCAACTTTGAAAAACTAGATGGCAATTTTTGCAGTGTACTTTCTAGCCAGGAAAGTTTGGCGCACAGTACAACGAAGACTTGAAACCATGCATTGACTTGTCTATTTCAATTGTGCTTGCAGAAACCATGCATTAATTATTCGAAGTGGACTCTAATTTCCTTTAGTCTTTATATACTTTGTACTACCTCTCTCTCTGTCTTTGGTTCTAAAACACGGCCGGGTGGTTGTTTCAGACTTGTGCGCAATAGTAATAACTAGCTCCCGGCTAGCACCTAAATAAAATCATATATTTTTAGTATGATTTTACTTAAAATTTATTAAATAGCTATCTCATTGTCTTAAGAGTTTGAAAGACCAAACCTTATCATCCCCGTGTTTTTAATTATATAGTTTTTTAAAAGTCACACCAGTTGCTACCCCTTATGTCATCTCCTTCTTTATTTGCTTGCTCGATCTACCACTATTTTTATTCATTCTCCTTAGAAACTTTAAAAATTGGATCTTATAGTTTTTAGAGTTTTTTTTGTCACGTTGGGTTTCGTTTTTATAATTTCTAGGCGTCCCGTCAAACATTGCCATTATACTCCTCTATAGTCCGTCCACTATCTCTTCTCTTTATTGTCATTGAGATTTTAAAAATCGAACATAATTATCGTTTGGGTTCATTTTTACTTTCTAGAAGTCCCGCCAAACCGTCAGCGGCTTTGCCATTGTACTTCTCTACGCCTCGCCCGCTGCCTCCCTTCTTTATTGTCATTGAGATTTTAAAATCGAACATGATTATCATTATTTTCTTTTACTTTTTAGAAATTCCGAACCTTTAAAAATTGAACCTTGTAGTTTTTAGAGTTGATTGTCTTGTTGGGTTTTATTTTTTATAATTTTTAGAAGTCTTGTCAAACGATGCCACTATGCTTCTCTACGGCCCGTACGCCGCCTACTTTTTATTGTCATTGTGGTTCTAAAAATCGAACATAACTATCGTTGGAATTCATTTTTTTATTTCCTAGAAGTCCCGTCAACCGTCGGCGGCTCTGCAACTATACTCCTATACACCCCGCCCGCTGCTTTTCCTTTTTATTGTCATTGAGATTTTAAAAATCGAATATAATTATCATTGGATTTTTTTTTACTTTTTAGAAGTCCCGGCAATCGTCTTGTTCATTTGCTTCACGGCCTTCCTATCGTCTCTCCTTTTAATCGTTATTAGGATTCTATTTTGTGTTTTATTAACAGTTTTTATATGTCGTATCAACCGCCACCACTCTACTCCATTATAGGCATGTTACTTAATTTATCTCGTCATATGTTTTAAATGGTCTTTTCGTTCAATAGTCTTTATTTTTATCATAAATTTTAGTTATTTATAAATTGTATTCCAAATTGAAATCTTATTTTTCGTTTTGTAATTTCAGAATTTTTTTTTCAATTTTAATTAATATCGTATTGTGTTCTTTTAATATTTTTATTTTTTATTTTCAAGAGAAAAGCCCATGCGCTACAACGGGTGACAACTATTTTAGTCTTATTATTGTTATATGGCTTAGTTATGATGATTCATCACTGTGAGAATTTGCTTGGATCTATATATTTCTAGAAAATCATAAGCTGTGGTTAGGAGTCTGTTCGTCTAAAGTTAGCATGCGAATTTTCTTATACGACTCCTATATTTCCAAAAGCGGACGAACTTAAAACCAACTCAAAGGATATATATTTTTTCAAAAGCGAACAAATTTATAAACCGACTCATACACGGATGACGTACCGGCAAAAATATCTTAAATTTTTTATAATAGTAGAGATTTTTTTTAAAAAAATAGTAGAAGTAGAAGAGAAGATTACGGACAAAAAGTCCTTTTTTTGAGGGAATCGTACTTTTTTAAGGAATTGGACGTTTTTATTTTTTTTTATACGGTAGAAGTTTTTTTTCTCTTTTTTTATTTTTTCTTGCCTTTTTTTCTCCGCAGATAGTCGGACTTTTTTTATGGAGTCGGACGTTTTTTTTACGTAGAAGTTTTTTTTTCTCTTATTTTTTTCTGTTTTTTTTCCACCGGAGGAGTCAGTCGTTTTTTTTTTTGGGTAGAAGTTGTTTTTTCTCCTTTCTTTGTTTTTTCTTGATTTTTTTCCCGTCGTCTCTCTTTTTTTTTTCCACCGGAGGAGTCGGAGTCGGACGTTTTTTTTACAATAGAAGTTTTATTTTCTATTTTTTTAATTTTTTCTCACTTTTTTTTCACCGGATGACGGATATGTCTTTTCAAAAACAAAAGAACTTAAAAACCAACTTATACACGGATGACGTAACAAAATACCGGTAAAAACATATTCAATTTATATAATAGTACAGATTTCAGTTGTTTCAAAATTGTATTCCTACTTGAACTCTCTTTTAATTTTTCTAATTTTGGATATTATTTTATTTTTTATTCTGAATTTTAATTAATCACGTATTGGGTTGTTATATGGATTCTTCTTTCAATATTTCTTATTTTTAATTCTGAATTTCAGCTATTTTAAAATTGTATTCCTACTAGGACTATCCTTTTCTTTTCTAATTTTAGATTTTAGTTTATTTTTATTTCAAATTTTGATTAATCTCGTATTGGGTTCTTATATGGAAACTTTTTTCACTATTGCTTATTTTTAATTCCGAATTTCAGCTATTTTTAAATTATATTTCTACTTAGATTCTCCTTTCCTTTTCTAATTTTGGATTTTATTTTATTTTTATTTTGAATTTTAATTAATCTCGTATTGGGTTCTTATATGGAAACTTCTTTCAATATTGCTTATTTTTAATTCCGAATTTCAGCTATTTTAAGATTGTACTTCTACTTGGACTCTCCTTTTCTTTCTTTTTTTTTACTTTTTCTCCGATTAATGTAGGACGTGGTGCCTCCTTTCAAAGCTGTTTTAATAATTTAATAGATTAAGAAAGTGAGTTGTAATTTGAGTCCTATTTTATCGTTAAAGTTTTGCTTTGAATTATATTTAAACTATTTGTTTTTTATTTGGATCGAATAATAATATTACTCCGTGTTTAGTTACAAAATAATTCTTCAAACTTCCAACTTTTCCATCACATCAAAACTTTCCCACACACACAAACTTCCAACTTTTCCATCACATTGTTCCAATTTCAACCAAACTTCCAATTTTAGTGTGAACTAAACACATCCTTATTATTGTAGTTTGGATCATCATAAATAAACTTTTCTATGTATATATATCAACAACCTCAAACAAATCGGCTCCAGCACACCGCCGAACTCCTCCATCTATGTGCAGTCTATATATTTGCTAGAGTGGAGGCTAGACATAGTTAGAAAAAATATTTGGGTGATCCATATTTAAAAAATAGCAAAAATTACCTAGTACAAAGTAGAAAAAAGAAAAGTTGATTTAAGGGTGTGTAAAGTAACATTTTGACAATAAAAGATGGCTCAAATTACAATTTACTCTTAAGTAAACCTCCTTACTCATATTTGGTGTTTCAGACATATTAACACAATCATTTAAATGTAACTTTGACATATAATTAATATTATCAAAAATATCTAACAAAGTTATGCTTTTATGATTTATGTTACTTCAATTTTGGCAAAATTTTACACTTTTGAAGTTTACTTATCCAATGTAAATAATAAGTGTCTTATGTTATTACACTATATAATCAGAAGCTCATCTTCAAGGAAGTAAAACCATACCATCTAAATGTTTACAAAGATCATCAAGATTATTTGCATACGAAATTCTGATGATCACCACGTAAAAGGGCTTCCATGGATTAAAAAAAAAAGGCAGAAATGATGTAGAAATGACCGTTTGAGGGAAGCACATAAGGAACACATGAATAAGAAGATATATCGATAAATGATTTTTTACGAGACTAGATCTCATGTTAAAATTCATCCGAAATTCCTTCTCTCTCCGTTTTATATTATAAGTCGTTTGATTTTTTTTAGAGTAAAGCTTCTTTTAAGTTTAAATAAATTTATAGAAAAATATAATAATATTTTCAATATAAAACAAACATATTATTAAAATATATTCAATAGTATATTTAATGAACTAGTTTGGTGTTATAAATATTGCTAATTTTTTCCTATAAACTTGATCAAACCTAAAAACTTTGACTAAAAAAGTTAAACGACTTACGGAGTATAATATTAAAGAGAGGGAGTATGTCCTAAGCCAATTCAAAGGAACTTTGTAGAATTTTGGATAGCGATGACTTTCGCCCCTTTTCCCTTTTCTCATCGAAGTCCGTATTGTGTTAGTTTCATCGTCTTATCTTTGCAAGCAATCGATTGGATTGGAAGTTATTTTCGAACGTCCTAAGCTCCTAGCTGTGCACTATCCCTCTATATGATCTCTTATTAACTTGTCTACTCAGTTAAGTAATCCATGTATGAGCAACAAGGACAGTTCTAATTAAGAACAGAAGCCATATTCGTCATTTTCTCCGAAGGAGAAAACACGGCCTCAATACATTGTTGCCTACACTGCTAAGTAATCCCTCCATGAGAACAACCTGTTGACTGAAGTTCCATCGCTGGCTTACCGGTTACTACTACGCAATGTCAATTTTCACACAAGACAAAACGGGTGAAAATCCTCTGCAAGAGATGAACAGAACAGGTCCAGCCTTTTGTGTGGCCACAACTTGTACCATCACGAACTGCATGCGAGAATTCACGTGTAAGTAGACCATTAGGTCCAGTTCTGCAGAGATGTCGACTTCTAATTTGTGGATAGAAACTTTCCTCCACCAGTTAATCGCAACCCGCTAATCAGGGATGACTTTGACATGATCCATTGATCAGTGATTTCATTAGCTTTCAGCTATAGAATCAATGTATCATTGGCTCATGTCAGTTGATAATTAAGTAGCAACGCGGCTGCATCTGCTTTGGACGCGGTGAAGTTTTTTATGGAATACGTA